GTGTCCCCGAAAATTGCGGTCGGTTCGCGGTTTGGAAAATCACCATACCGCAAATAGTCGGTCGGTTCGCGGTTTGGGCAAAAATTCGCGGTTACCGAACCGCAACCACCCCTAGTTTTTTTATTCAAGAAAAAAAAATTTGTATTTAAAATTCTCTTAGGGGAATCAAAAAATTGTTTTTTCTATGATGACTTAATTTTTTTCTTTAAAAAATGGCATACATATATATTTTTTTATTATGAAGAAAAGGTTTTCTCTATGGTGCGAAACGTGTTACTTAAGGATATATTTGGTTAAAATAAATAAAAGGTTTTTTTAGTTGAGATTTTTTTTTTCCTAGAAACAGTCCGGTATAATTATGTAGGGGTGGTTGCGGTTCGGTAACCGCGAATTTTTGCCCAAATCGCAAACCGACCGACTATTTGTGGTTTGGTAATTTTCCAAACCGCAAACCAAACGCTCCGCAAAAAGCAGTGGGTTACCGCGAATTAGCGGTTTAAAACCGCAAGTTCTCAAGCATTCACAAAAATATAAATTCAAAACCTAAACAAATAAATATACAAACTCAACTTCTCAAGCATATTATAAATTCACAATCTAAAAAAAATTAAAGTTACAATTTCAAGCATTCCAATTAAAGTTAAACTTCTTAAGCATTCCAAATCCTTTAAAGTTACAATCCAAAAGCAAAATTCAAAGCAAAATGAATTAAAGTTACAATAAAAAAGAAAAATCCAATTCAAAGTTAATTAAAGTTACAAACTAAAAGGAAAATGCAATGCACCAATGTTACAAACTCAAATGTTGGTGGTGAGTGGATTTGAAGAACCTCGTTGTGTTGTTTGAGTACCAATGCTATCTACAAATAAAACAACATAGTTTAGTACATTTTATTATAAGAAGAAACATAAATAACATTAGCATTCAAAACAGATTCAAAACAACATTAACAGATTCCAGAATTAACATTAACAGATTTAAAACCAAGCTCAAAACATTAATAGATTCCAGAATTAACATTAACAGATTCCAAATCAAGCTCAAAACATTAACATACAAAAAAACAGAACTTAATTCAAACCAAATGCTCCAAGCTGAAAACCAAATGCAAAAATTCAGAACTTACCTCTGCAAAACCAAATGCTCCAAGCTCAAAACAGAAATCTGCAAACAGTTAATTCACTTCAGCAACAATCTCTGCAAAAATCAAATTTGACATTAGAAATTCCCAATTAAAACCTAAATTTTGAAACCCTATCTTTGAAACAATCAATTCCAGAAAACCGAAAACACTATAATTTACCTCCAAATCAGAGGTTGAAAGCTGCTGAGAGCGGCTGTTGACAGTGGTGGCCGACGGGTTTGAGTTGAGCTTGAGACACAGAGAGAGACAGAGAGAGAGTTTGAGTTGAGGGAGGGTGGTGGAGGTTGAGTCGAGAGAGCGAGGAGGAGATGAGTTCGATTCGGTGAGTTCAATTTGGGTTGAGAAAAGACAGAATTAAGATCGAGAGAGAGAGGAGGAGATGAGTTCGATTCGGTCTGTGAGAGAGAAGCTGATTTTGAGAGTTGAGAGAGAGAGAGAGAGAGAGAGAGAGAGAGAGAGAGAGAGAGAGAGAAATGAGAATCAGAGAGTTGAGAGGGTTTAGGGTTTGCATCTAACGGCTACAGACATGCGACTATAGACATAAGGCTACAGACTTAATTATAGAGTATAGTCGTGCGGCTATACTTTGCAGTTTGCGGTAACCGCAATTTTTGAAAATCAAATACCGCAAATGCGGTTCGGTTTACCGCGATTGCGGTAAATTATCGGTTGGTTTTTGCGATTTTTCGGTCTAAAATGCCACCCGTATAATTATGTAAGGATTAATTGGGGTTTTAAGGAGATTTTATTTTGGCTTAATATCACAAAATGTCTCTAAATTTTATGAAACTATCATATTGCATCTTTAATGTTTTTTTTTTGTCATTCATGGTCCTCAAGGTTAATATATGTTATCACAAATGGTCCATGCCGTTAAGTTCCGTCAAAACTCCATTAGTTTGCTGACGTGGCATATATGTACATCACAAAACATCCCTGAAATTCACGCGCCTATCACAAATGGTCCCTGCAAAATTTTTTAATTTTTAATTTGAAATTCATAAAATTTTGATTTTTTTTATGAAAAAACCATTTATATAAGATTTTAACCTTGAGGATCATTTATGAACCATAAACCCTTGGTTTTAAAAAATTTAAGTTTTATGAATTTTAAATTATTTTTAAAAAACTCCATTAGTTTGTTGATGTGGTATATATGTGGAGCCCATTTTAAAAAACTCCATTAGTTTGTTGATGTGGCATATATGTGGAGCCCGCATCTCCAATAGTATAGTGTCACGTGTATTTAAAATAAAATATATATTTTAAAATTAAAAAATTTCGCATGGACCATTTGTGATAAGTGCATGAACTTCAAAGATGTTTTGTGATATATATATATATATATATCAGTCTCCTTCTATTGAGGGACGCCCTTTAAGGTACCCTATGGATTTTTTTTTAACGATCCAAACCATTAATTTTTTAAGTCTTCATTTATAGATCATCCTTACAAAAAATTAGACAAATCGGAAACCGTTTCGACATCCAATTGTATTCTACAAAATCAATAAACACGGTGCTTCAAGAAAGTACTAAAATTTCAAGAACTCAATTGAATGATCAAATGATATCGGATTCAAGTGATTTTTTGTTGAGATGATCTTTAAATGAGTATCTACAAAATAGATTGTTTGGATTAGTGAAATACAATCCAAAGTGAACCTTACAAGGGATGTTCCTCAAATAAACTTATTTGATGAATCCTTCAATAGAAGCTCTCTGTGTACATATATACACATATATGTCACGTTAGCAAACTAACGGAAACCTAACGGCAAAGACCGTTTGTGATTACACGTATTAACCTTGAAAACCACGAATGATAAAAAAAAAAAAAAATTTAAGATGCAATATAATAGTTTTGTAAACATTAGGGATGTTTTGTGATATTAAGTCTTTTATTTTAATAAAACTAAATTTTAAGTGTTGTTAATAAAATGGTTGCTAACAAAGCACTGCACGCGGAGACATCGCTGGCAGTATCAATGTTGGTGATAACGTAAACTACTATTTCTTTTTTGCTTTTTCTTTTTTCTTTTTGCTTTGTCTTTTTTTGGGACGTGACTAATAAGAAATCAGAAGTACATATGAGAAAATCATGGCAGCTTCTCGTTGGCTCAACTTTGAGGCAATTGCCTTGCATCTACACATTTGAAGAAAACACAGAACTAACAAATTTAAAACGTGAAAACGACAAACTACATGAACTCGACAAACCACAAACCAAATTTTAAAGGAGAAAA